GAGGCCCCCAAAATAGTGTAGGTAATTATTAAGGGCCCTTTTTGAGGCCCCAAAAAAGAGACCAAGCACTCTGCAACCTAAACACTACCTGAAAAATCGAGAGCGGCGTGGCGCTGCCATGTGCTGAAGGGCTGTTGTGGCTGAATGTAGCTGCGACATCCTCTTTGCACGCTCTAAATCCCAAACCCTAACCCCTAAACCCTAAAGCCTAAACCCTAAACCCTAAACCCTAAACCCGACCCACGCCCTAAATCCTGACCTTAAGCCCGACACTCTGAAATCTCAACTGAGGCTTTTACCCGGCTAGCTACTCTTCTGCCCAACAACCGGCCACAGGACTTTGGCAGGGGTTTAGGGCTTCAGAGGTTTTTGGGGAAAGGAAGAAGTACTCGGGGTATGCTGAGGTTGTAACTTTGGGGGACCTAAACCCTAAACCCTAAACTCTAAACCATAAAACCTTGCATAGTGACTTTTGTCGTTTTGATGAGACTCTGACAAGACTCAACGTCCCCAAGCTTGCAGAATCAACCCGAAACACCTAACCCCTAGTCATCCTAAACCCTAAATCCGTACACCCGAAGCCCTGAACCATTAATCCCTATGACCCCCAAAACCCCTAAACCCCTAAACCCCTGAACCCAAAGCACTTCTTACAACAGACCCAGAGAGCCCAAGAAAAACTCACTTTGGGGTTTAGGGTAGGGGTGAAACCCACGGACCTTCTGGATTAGGCCTTTAGTGGTTTAGGGTTTAGGGTTTAGACGGATTTAGGATTTGGGTGGTTTAACCCTAAACCCTATACCTGTTTAGGGGTTTAGGGCAGTTTAGGGGTTCAGGGTACTATGTTTGGGGGCCCCTAAACCCTAAACCCTAAAACCCTATCTTTGGGGGCCCTGGGGAGGCTGCGCCTTGCTTAGAAAGGTGCTGTGTGCAGGCGAAGACCTCTTCTACAGGTCTCCTCCTTAAGTTTTAGGCCTTAGGGATTTAGGGCTCAGGGTTTTAGGGCTTAGGGTTTAGGGTTTTGGGTGTAGGGTTTAAGGTTTAGGGTTTAAGGTTTAGGGTTTAGGGTTTAGGGGGGATCTAAAAGGGTTTCTAGTCCCCTTCGGGGGTTCCTTTAAAGGGATCTAAACGGGTTTCAGGAGGACTTCTAAACGGGTAGTTCTCTGTTATAAGGGTGGTGGGGCTTCCTAAAACAACCGGAGGCTAGTTTGGAAAACTACATTTAGGGTTTAGGGTTATTTGTTCAGGTTCAACCATGTAAATTGCGCCAACTCTAAACTCCACACACCATAAGAACCCTCGTAATTACTGCTGATGACGTAAATCCTGCAGTACCTCAAGGGCCCTAAACTATGGGAATCATGGTATATTCCTTATTATGGGTGGTGCAGGGTTTATATCATCAACCGTTGGACCCCGAACCGAACCCTTCTAGGAGCCCGAAAAGGGGCAATAAGCATTACATGAAAGGAGCCGTTTGCAGCTGGACAGGAGCCCACAGTCAGCAGTCGTGATAGTAATGGGATGGAGTTGGTAGTAGTAAGTAACAGTAGTAATGTTACAAATATTACTATTTTAAAGTAACAGATGCAATCTGAATTGATCGGCTGGAATCGTTTTTTATCGAGAGGGCTCTTCTCTACAGCAAGCCCTTTCCTTCGTAGTATGGTGTAGATTGCCCTATTGTAGGGGTCTGATTGCAACTGTAACCCCTAAACCCTAAACCCCTAACCCCTAAACCCCTAAACCCCTAAACCCCTAAACCCCTAAACCCTAAACCCTAAACCCTAAACCCACCCTAAATCCTAAACCCTAAACCCAAACCCAGCGTCTTGAGCTTCTGGGCACAGGAAGGCCCAAAGGTCGATTTGGCGGCCTGACAAAGGCTTCCGGGATCGGGTTTGGGGTTCGGGGTTTAGGG